GTAGAAGACAAATACATGGCAGAAAATATCCCATGAAGCCATGGGTTTAAATAAGTCACTTGTTGCACAAGAAACATGTTGATATTGTTATTTAGCTTTCTTTTATCTTCCTTAAAACAAAATCAAGTGGCACGTATCAGTAACATGTTGTAGAAAAAGTTATGGAGTGAAGTGTAGAAGCCGCTACACCATGCTCGGGTGTAATAAAGCAAACCTCTTGGTTCAGTCAAATGGAGGAAATGTCTTTCGATGTCTGCTTAAAAGAAAAATACACTAATTTTACAATTTATTGGACTACCTATGAAGTACGAGATGAAGGTCTTTAGTGGGACGATAACATCCTAATTATATACTTTTCATGTGATTTGACTTTAATTTGGTTGTCTTTATTACTATTCATATACGTTTTTTTTTCCTACGCTTGAACATCCATGCTCACAAGATTGTGTTTTTAACTCCTCTGCTTTACACATGGATTCATATTCTATTTATGTGTCTTTCGTATGCCTATCTTTCCATAATCTTGTGACTAAAAAGGCCCTAATTGTTGTATAATCGTATTCCACAAATTCCAAATCTTAGATCATGAAGGAAAATAAGTTGACTAGAACCATATGTTTGGCTATATTCCGAAACAGACTACACCAATTTATTTTAATTTTGCAATTATGAAACTGCACTTTCCGTTGCTTTCTCTGACGATACAAGCTAATGTGTGCTTGCTGAATTTGATGTAACAAATAACCATAATCCACGCAATGTCTACAGGTTTCTGGCCTCATGCCCACTTCAGGGACATCAGCGAGAGGGAAGAGGAGAGCCGGAGGCGGCGCACTACTGAAATGAGCAACAGTGGCTCAACCGCAGTTGTCCCTCGGCAAGGTGAGACGGGGGCAAACACGAGCCGAACGTTGGAGGCGATGGAGTCCGGTACGTAGGACAGGGCGATGGCCCCATGTAACATGCATGTATGATCGGAAAAAAAAGTAACATGCATGTATTGTGGCCCGTGGATAGATCCGTTGTCACCTACCCTAAGCCTTGGAGATCTCAGCTTCCGAGTTCCAAAATGTAGGGTTGGAAGTGTCACTGAATATCTCTGTATATATAGTACTACTTTCTTAGAGTCCGGTGCGTAGGACAAGGCAATGGCCCTGTGTAACAATGTATTGTAGATCGATCACTTGGCATCTAAAAGCCATGGAGATCCAGCTTCCAAGTTCCAATGTGTAGGGTTAGAAATGTCACTGAATCTGTATGTATATACACATGTAATGTGGATCTATTCCGTTGGAGTCTAAGCCTCGGAGAATGGAGATCCAGCTTCCAACTTGTAATGTAGGGTTAGCGATTTCACTGTATCTCTCTCTATATATATACTGAATGCTCCCCATGTGTATAGCTCGTAGTGCTTTCTACAATTGCTACCAATCTCTCGGTCCTCCTCTGCGTATTTTTTTCTGAAGTATAAACCCACCTGGGAGCATTCTGATTAGTTAATTTGGCACCCTCAGTTGTGTTTGCTTTCCTTAATTTGGTACTG